TGTAAAAACATGCTGATTCCCGGACGGCCCGCGGGCCAGATTGAGAAGGCGACTGGGCCAGATTCAGCCCCTGGGCCTTAGTTTGCCTATCCATGCCCTAAGCCAGGGATCAGAAAACTTTTTCAGCAGGGGTCCCTCAGACCTTGTGGGGGGCCGGACTATATTTTGAGGAAAAAAGAAAGATGAACGAATTCCTATGCGCCACAAATAACCCAGAGATGTATTTTAAATAAAGGGACACATTCTACTCATGTAAAAACACACTGATTCCTGGACCGTCTGCGGACCCGATTGAGAAGGCGATTGGGCCAGATCTGGCGCCCGGGCCTTAGTTTGCCTACCCATGCCCTAAGCTATGCCACTCCTTTGTCAGAGAGGTGCATGTTTTTATTTTTGTGACTGTAAGTTGCTTTAGATTGCTTTTTGTATTGTTTTTTAATGCTGTAACCCACACTGGGACCTTAGGGTGAAGGCCGAGTAGTAAAAAACAGTGGTACTTCAGGTTACATACGCTTCAGGTTACAGACTCCGCTAACCCAGAAATAGTGCTTCATGTTAAGAACTTTGCTTCAGGATGAGAACAGAAATCGTGCTCCGGCAGCGGAGCGGCAGCAGGAGGCCCCATTAGCTAAAGTGGTGCTTCAGGTTAAGAACAGTTTCAGGTTAAGAACGGACCTCTGGGACGAATTAAGTACTTAACCCGAGGTACCACTTTAAGTAACAACGACTGAGCCCTGGGGAGGAGGACCCCAGCTCAGTGACAGCCTCCATCCAGCAAGTATTGGCCGGGGGGAAACCCCTGCAATCCCGGAGCATCACTGGTGCAAACGAGGACCAAAATGCTCCAAATCATTTAAAGTCATTACTAATTATTACTGTTTGGCCATTGTTCCATAACTCGGCCCTCTGGGCAGGGTACACAAAAAAACGTTTAGCACAAATTAGGAATGACAAAGAAATAAACTTATCAAAACGGAGCACATCCGAGCTAGTTATTTGACAAAGCCCCCACTTGCCGTACTAAGAATCGCTTTCACAGAATTACGACTCCAGTCGATGCCCTCAGCGGTGGTGGGTGGTCGGTATGGCGAAGTACAGTACAAGGAGAGACTTTGTCAGCAACCTTGCGTAGAGAACCTGCACCACTATTTATTGCAATATATAGAACCAAGAGACTGATTTATAAAACCCCTGCTCACGAATGGAACACACTCGAACAGGGCGGAAAGGGGGAAATGGCTGCTGAGTGATACTGATGACTTCGTAACTTATAAAGTAGCACTATATGCGTTGGCAGCTAAGATGATCAGGAGAAAAGAACTAGATAAAATAGCGGTCAATTGCAAAGGTGATTCGGACATTTAACCTGGCACATTCTACCTGAGAACCCCTTGCTAGTCTATCGTATACAACAAATAATTTTTGGGAGAAGTGATTGTGGTTCTTTGCATCTGCAGTGCCTGTTCTTATGGTTTTATTGTTGCTTCTCTCGTTGTTCCCTTTGTGAATAATGCCAAGGCCTTTGGCTAGTGCAATAAAGTTTATGATGACGACGACAAAGAAATAATACAACAGAAATGCTACAAAGTAAACTCCAAATCAGCAAAAACAAAACATGGCTTCTCTCAAATTCACCCCGTTCAATATTCCTGTATCGATTTTGTAAGTTTGCAAAGCTAAAAATGAAAACAACAAGGAATAATAATAATAATAGACAGAAAAACATCCTGTATACGGATGCTCTTATGCTTTACATTGCTTTCATTTTTAGCTTTGTGAACTTATACAATGCAATAAAAATATCACCGGGGGGGGGGGGGGGAATGCACCTAATTATATGGAGAACTAAATTCATCACATAATCCCGCTCAACGTAATAAAACTCTCTTAAAGGGTTTTCATTAAAAGCATATGAGCCACTACAGAAGCCAGGCCAAATATCAAGATCAGTCTTGCAGGAGGCTAATGAGAGAAGGCCATGAGGACTAAGAGAACAACAACAAAAAAAGGTTTTCTTGGCAGAGAGGGGCCATCACAGAAGGGGCCAGGCAAACCACTCCAGGCCCTCTCATCGCAGCCACCCTCTGCACTCCAGAGTGAAGTGGCCAAGGGAGAACAGCATCTGTTGACACCCCGGGGGCACAGGCAGGCTCAATCAGGAAGAGGCCCGTCCCACTGGATAATAATAATAATAATAATAATAATAATAATGGGGACGCGGGTGGCGCTGTGGGTAAAACCTCAGTGCCTAGGGCTTGCCGATCGCATGGTCAGCGGCAGTGGCGTAGCGTGGGTTGTCAGCACCTGGGGCAAGGCAAGTAATTTGCGCCCCCTAACCTGGGGCAAGGCAAGTAATTTGCGTCCCCTAACCCGTGGATTTGCGCCCCCTAACCCTACAAATCTATGCCTATGAATGATGGTCCCTCTCTCTCTCTCTCTCTCTCATATTCCAATTGATTCCCATTTCCGCTGATCGATCCCCGAAGCTCTCACCCAGCGAAATTCGTGCGTAATCACGCTTCGCCATCCCTAATCCTGCCGCTTCCACCGGGAAATCATGACGGTGCATTTCTCCTCTCCAAACTTTCCCCGGCCCTTTGCCGGCCGGCGCAGCCCTTTTGGCTACGAGCTCCCCTCCTTCTCTACCCGCTTCCGACCCCACCTCCCCGTCCAGCCTCCCTACCTCCTGAAAAAAGGCGCAGGCGCCGCGCAGGACACCCCCGCGGCCATCGGAGAGAGGCGGGGCCGAGGGAGGCAAGCCAATGGGCGAGGCGGGGGTAGGTGGCCACGGGGGCGGGCGCTGCCGCAGTCCTTGGGTGGGCAAGGTAGGAGCAGGCGGAGGCTGGCCGGCCGCTCTGACAATAGGGGCGGGCCGAGGGCACGACGGGGCTGGGCCCTCTGGACTCGCGCCCCCCCCAGATGTTGCGCCCGGTGTGGCCGGCACCCCTGGCACCCCCCACGCTACGCCACTGGTCAGCGGTTCGAATCCCCGCGGTGGGGTGAGCTCCCGTCTTTCGGTCCCAGCTCCTGCCCACCTAGCAGTTCAAAAGCACCCCTAAGTGCAAGTAGATAAATAGGTACTGCTTTATAGCGGAAAGGTAAACGGCGTTTCTGTGTGCTGCGCTGGTGCCGGCTCGCCAGAGCAGCTTCGTCACGCTGGCCACGTGACCCGGAAGTGTCTGCGGACAGCGCTGGCCCCCGGCCTCTTAAGTGAGATGGGCGCACAACCCTAGAGTCGGACACGACTGGCCTGTATGGGCAGGGGTACCTTTACCTTTAATAATAATAATAATAATAATAATAATAATAATAATAATTTTATTTATATCCCGCCCTCCCCAGCCAAAGCCGGGCTCAAGAGCAGCTAACAACAATAAAAGTAACACAGCATTCTAAAATCCATTCATTATAAAATCAATTCAAAATCAAATTAATGGCAACCATTGGGCTAGAGTTCTGTGAAGAATTACCAAAGGAGGGGGTCAGGCTGTGCCTTGGCCAAGGGCCTGGTGGAACAGCTCTGTATTGCAGGCCCTGCAAAAAGATGTCAAGTCTCGCATGGCCCTAGTTTCTTGTGACAGAGCGTTCCACCAGATCGGGGCCACGGCCGAAAAAGCCCTGGCTCTGGTTGAGGCCAGCCTAACCTCCCTGTGGCCCGGGACCTCCAAGGTGTTATTATTTGAAGACCGTAAGGTCCTCCGTGGGACATACCAGGAGAGGTGGTCCCGTAGGTACGAGGGTCCTAGGCCGTATAGGGCTTTAAAGGTTAAATCCAGCACCTTAAACCTGACCCTCTACTCCACCGGGAGCCAGTGCAGCTGATATAGCACTGGGTGAATGTGATCCCGCGGCAGGGACCCTGTAAGGAGTCTCGTCCGCAGCATTCTGCACCCGCTGGAGTTTCTGGGTCAGCCTCAAGGGTAGCCCCACGTAGAGCGAGTTACAATAATCAAGTCTGGAGGTGACCGTCGTGTGGATACACCTCTTCTGTAGACACAAGCCATGAGCAATGGAGAGCCCAGGCAAATTATGCCCCCTGCTCATTAGTAGACGGGGCAGGGGGTGGGCAGAGAGGTGCCACGTCAATATCTTGCCTCCGGCACCCCCAAAACATCTTGGGCCAGCCTTGATGGGACTGGGCACCAAGCAGTATTTGTTGGAGGGCCAGAGCTCAGTGGGACAGCATCTGCCTTGCAAACCGAAGGCCCCTGGCCAAACCCCAGTTGCACTCCAGGCAAGGTTGGGAGAGATGACTGCTGGAAAACCTGGAGAGCAGCTGCCAGTCAGTGTAGGCATACTCAGCAAGGTGGACCAATGGTCCGATTCTGTATAAGGCAGCTTTCTATATGCCTGTGCTGTTTGTGGGAGGCCCAGCCTCTCAGAACACGTCTGTAGGATTTCTGAAATAAAATATGGGGACGTTGGTGGGGTGGGGAGTCCTGGCCACTGCCATTTTGGGCACTCGCTCCTCGGCAGAGCTATGACACCACAACTATTAGATAAAGCACCCTTCCAGGTCCCCCTTTGGGAGGGAGAAATGCTTGTGAGGTCACTCTACTCCACTTGACCAGTCTACAGAACTGGCAGTCCCACAGGTGTCCCATTACGCCTGTTCCACATTTGTAAGAACTTTAATCTTTTAATGTGGCAGTACCCATACTTTGGAACTCCCTGCCTATTGATATCAGGCAGGTGCCTTCGCTGTACTCTTTCTGGTGGCTGCTAAATGCTTTTTTTGTTCCGACAAGCCTACCCAGATGCAAAGGAAGATGGTGTGAGTTTGAATCTGTTTTCAGCCCATTGCGATTTTAAGTTTTTGAATGTCTTAAATCATTACTGATTCTTCTTATTGATCCTTTTATGATTTTGCCTTTCTTTGTAAACCATGCTGAGATTTGTGATTTTTTTTCCATTATCAAGCAGTGTATAAATTTTATAAAATAAATAAAAAGTGGGCTTTAATGCAAAACGCCCGAGTGTGTTTTGACATCAGCATTTACCTGGAGGACAGGTTGGAGAGAGCCCTGTTGAGAACCTCTGGGGTGTCATCCACCGGCGCTGCTTGGGCAATCTCCGATTTGGACTCGCTGTCCGACGCCGTTTCTCCATCCAGCTTGCTTTCAAACTCTGATTCCTGCAGGACGAGAGAGGCAAAGGTTTAATGCAAAGAAGCAAGGGGGGTCAGGGCGAAGGGCTTCCATCTGCACACATGCAATGGCTGTTATTGAAATTGAAATACTTTATTGTACAACTTGTATACAGTGAGATTACACGAGCACCCCCCACTCAGCTCTCTTAGTCTTAATTCCTCTCGTTTACACACCCACCAAACCCGAAAGTCCGTTGCCCTGTTGTTATCTTTTCATTCAGCAGCCTAACAGCCCACGGATAGAAGCTGTTCTTTACCCTGTTGGTGTGACTAATCATGCTTCTATATCTTCTGCTCAAGGGCAGGAGATCAAGAAAGTGCTGGCCAGCGTGTGAATCATCCCTGAGAATTTTCCTCACTCTCCTGAGGCAATGTTCTTCCGCGATGTCATCCAGCGGATTCACGGGACAGCCCATAATATCTTGTGCTGTATTCACCACCCTCCGTGGGCACTTCCTATCAGTTGATGTCAAACCAGCGTACCACACCGTGATGCAGTATGAAAGGACATTTTCTATTGTTGAGTCTGTAACCTGAAGCGTATGTAACCCGAGGTACCACTGTAAACTTGGTGGGTTTTTTTGGTTCACTTTTAACAACTGACGAAGAGAGTAACTGGTTGGTGACAGCAGGGAAGCAAGCACAGTAGTGGTACAGGGATCAATAGAGCGTTAAACGTCTGGGGACCCTGTGTGATCGCTACAATGACCCTCTTCAAACCTTGTTTAGGTTAAAGCAAGTCATGGGAAGGAGGAAGGAGGAAGAAAAGGGGCCTGCCCCAGAGCGAGAAGGGTGCATGCAAATGTACAAGACCTCAGCACCAACTCAAATGCTGAGGGAGATCAGGACCAGAGGGAGGAAGGCGTCATCCCCTCTTCCTTCCAGCAAGGTTTAAACTGCATTATTACGTGGATGCATTTGCCTCAGGAGGCGCTGGCCAGCTAGGAAATTGATAACGTCAACAGAAAATGAGATATAATATATATGCTGGCATTGGCACTGTATATTATGTACTCATTTATAAGCCACAGTACTCCTTCGTATCAGCAACGGAAAGAGTCATTGTACCAGCTTCCCAAAGTGCAAAGATGGCCTCAAGCCATCAGGGAATTGCAACAGCAGCCATAATCCTATCTCCTGGTATGCCCTGCGGAGGACCTTAAGGTCCACAAATGACAACATTTTGGAGGTCCCAAGTCACAAGGTGGTTAGATTGGTCTCAACTAGGGCCAGGGCCTTTTCAGTACTGGCCCCAACTTGGTGGAATGCTCTGTCACAAGAGACCAGGGCCCTGCGGGACTTGACATCTTTCCGCAGGGCCTGCAAGACAGAGCTGTTCCTCCTGGCCTTTGGTTTGGACTCAGTCTGACCCTTATGTTTTCCCTCTCCTTACGGTTTTGACTTTTAAACCGAGGCTGCATTTTAAATTGCATTTTAACCTGTATTTTAAATTGGTCCCCCCCCCCCATTATGATTTTACTGTAATTTTATTGGTGTTAGCCGCCCTGAGCACGGCTCTGGCTGGGGAGGGCGGGGTATAAATAAAATTTATTATTATTCTTATTATTAGATTAGTAAAATTGGAAGAGACCCCCAAGTGCCATCTCATCCAATCCCTGAGAATGCAGGCAGCCCAGCTAAAGAATCCCTTGTGGCCACCCAACCTCTGCTTAAAAACCTCCAAGGAAGGAGAGGTCACTATCTTCTGAGGTATTCTATCTAGAATGGACAAGGACAGCCAAGTTCCCACTATCCAATGTCTTTGCTGCAAAAAGAAAGCCATTTCCGAACCGATAGTGCAAAGATAAATCTGCTGCACCCCACACAGGCACAAAAGCACCCTACACCATTTCCAACATGGTGCTTCAGCACACAGACACCCCAAACCAGGAATTTTATTCCATCCAACCCGCATGTCAGAAAGCTATTGCTTTCTGCTTAAAAAGAATCCAAAGGAACATTCCACCCCCAAAATATAAATTTATGCTGACATAAAAAGAATCAATCAATAAAAACTTCACAACTAAAAGCAAAGGACAAACACTGGTCCAGTTTGAATGTCACGTAAACCACAGTTTAAGCCAGCAGTTCCCAAGCTTTTTTTTTGGGGGGGGGGACCTCCTTGGTTCCATGGGCTCATCCCCACTGCCGCCTCCCCTCCCCTCTAAAAAGGATTATTCAGAATTGCAGTATGCATGGCATCTGTATTGATTTAATTTGTGTACATCACCTTGGGGGGAAAGGTGGGAGATATAAGATATAGATACATAAAATCAACAGCGGGTGGGGAAAATGGAACTGAATAAAGAAGAATCACAAACCCAAACAAGAGATGTCAGGATTGATTTCTTGACTTAGAAAGCTGTTGCTAATTACACAGAGATGTGCTTAATATAGGACTGGGAGAGGTGGGTGGGAGGAGTAAAAATTCGGAAGTGGAGGGGCTTGCTAATTGCCAACCTTTCCATCACAGTGCAAATCACAGCTGTCCCTCTGTAAATCACTGGCTCAAGCAGCTGATCAGGGAACCAAGCTGGCTGCTTTCTGATGTGCTGTGCTCTGGTCCATCCCAGAAGTTTCTATGGCAACCACCTCCTGCTCTCACACGCCGGGATGAAAATGGCTCCGTTGCTCCTGGCAATTCTTACACAACTGGGTCAATGCACAAACACGAAGCATTATAATCCCACACACGCGCAAACCCCCCCCCCTCTGATTGGGCCCATGAGGAATGTCAATATTATCAATCCAGAGAATTTGAATTATGGTGATTTGTTATTAAAATCATGCACGCGCACAGTTGTGCTTTCACCAGCAGCCTACGGGGAGAGAAAGAGAAGCAGCAGCTTGCTGGAAGAGCAGCTGTTTTGCAAAAGGTGCCTGATTCCATCCTCGTCACCTGGAGGGAGGGAAAGATGGAGAGAATCTGTAGAGGTGGGTGGACCAATGGTCTGGCACAGCGCTGTTCCTAGATTCTGACGTTACGCGAGAAACTACAAACTGGTGACTCGAGGATGATTCACCACAGTAACCCTCATGGAATCCAAAATTTCGAAGTGAGTTCAGAGCTGACCTGAGAATCATTACTATGCTAGTAGACCAGGGGTGGCTAATCTTTGGCCCTCCAGATATAATGCAGGACTACATAAGAACTTAAGAAGAGGCGGCTGGATCAGGCCAATGGCCCATCTAGTCCAGCATCCTGTTCTCACTGTGGCCAATAGATGCCTCTTATAGGAAGCCAGCAAGCAGGTACCAAACACAAGGGCAACGCTTCCCTCCTGCGGTTTCCAGCAACTGGTATTCAAAAGCATTGCTGCCTCTGTCCATGAAGGCAGAGCATTGCTATTGTGGCTAGTAGCCATCGATAACCTGCTTCTCCTCCCTGAATTGGTCCAAGCCTCTAGTAAAGCCATCCAAGTGTTGGGATACTGACTCCAGCCACCAGCCAGCAGATCACCGGTCTCCCTTGGAAAACATCAATCAGCGACACGAGCCTCAGATACGTTTAGAGACCCGTGCACGCTCTGTCAGCAGAGTGTGTAAATCTTCTCACAGCAGAAGAGGCGGACAGAGAAAGGTGTAAGCATAATGTACAGCATTTTATGCAGCATAGTTCAGGAACAGAGGAAAACATGTCTGCTTCCCTTCGTCTCCAGCAAAACAGCAGCAGCGCAAAAGCTATATACAAACGGAAGTTCCCAGCAGATCTGCGCTGGAAGTAAACAGGCATGTGACACACAATAGTCATGCCTGTACCCTTTTAAGGTGGAACAGAACTATATCCTAACACCAAGTTGGTGGCCATTGCTGCCTCCTGTAGGGGAAAGTTCCATAGCTTAACTATGCACTGCAGAAACGGCTTCCTTTTATCTCTCCTGAATCTTCCAGCGTTCAGTTTCGTTAGTTGTCCATAAGTTCCAGTGTTGAGAGAGAGGGAGGCTACAACTCCCTTCACCCCCTGACTTTTCTGTCTGGGACTGGTGGAACCCAGAAACCTCTGAAGGGCCTCACTCATTTGCCACTCCTGCTGCAGACCATCAGCACCTGAAAGAGCTCCTTTCTTGCAGATGGAGGTGAATGCAGCATCGAAGAACTAAAAGCCACATGCAGGTCAAAATATGTGAAATCCTATTGCAGGCAATAAGAGAGAGAGAAGGAGAGAGAGAGACTGGGGAGAAACACATCGGGGAGAGAGAGACTGGGGAGAAACACATCATGCTTCCTCCAAGTTAAACCCCAGTAAGGCAAAGCTAAAGGGACACGGGTGGCGCTGTGGTCTAAACCACAGAGCCTAGGACTTGCCGATCAGAAGGTCGGCGGTTCGAATCCCCGCGACGGGGTGAGCTCCCGTTGCTCAGTCCCTACTCCTGCCAACCTAGCAGTTCGAAAGCACATCAAAGTGCAAGTAGATAAATAGGGACCACTCTGGCGGGAAGGTAAACGGCATCTCCGTGCACTGCTCTGATTCGCCAGAAGCAGCTTAGTCATGCTGGCCACATGGGAGCTGTACACCGGCTCCCTCGGCCAGTAAAGCGAGATGAGTGCCGCAACCCCAGAGTCGTCCGCGACTGGACCTAATGGTCAGCGGTCCCTTTACCATCAAGGCAAAGCTAAAACCTCCAGCCCAAACAGAAAGCCCAAGTTGGGAGCTGGAGAGGTGGATACAGATGTTTGCTACAGGAGGAGCCTCTAAATGGCAGCAAAGCCAAAGAGAAAAAGGCAGGATGGTACTCATCACCCTGGCCAGATCATTTATGTAATTTTTTTTTAATAAAAATGTTTTTTTACCAACATGTCATAAAACCTACATCAATATGGTTTACAACAATAAAACAAAACCGTACAATAAAACCCATAAAAAAGTTTAAAACAGGCATCAATTAACCCCTGTGGAAAGATTCGCTCTTGGATTGCCAGCATAGGCCTGATTAAATAAGAAGATTTTCAGCAGGCATTTAGAAGTTGGCAGAAGAGGTGCCTGC